GTCGAGGAAACGGTCCTTGATCTTGGCCAAGAACTGTTTCAGGGTCAAGGTCTTTGCCCACTCGCCGATGTCTTCGAACCTTGTGGCGTTGGCCTCAGCCAACACCCATTGTTTGGCCTCACCTCCCATACAAGAGTTGGTGAACGCAACTTGGGACTCCGGTTCGACCGGAGCGGTGCTTACATATGTTTGGATTTCAGCAATCCAAAGCTACAGACTCTCATCTTTCTTATTACTAAACGTGAAAGGCAACTTCATTTGCACTTTCTCTTTTTTCTTTGGCTTCTCCAGTTCTGCACTTTGCCCGGAGTTGTCAAAGAACGAGACTTGGGAGAAAGAGATGAATGAGAGGAGTTAGACAGAGAGGACGGTGGATTCGACGGTCTATTCCCATTGGCTGTCATCTTAATTGTTGGATTAGCAGACTTCATAGCATCTCCCATTAACTTCTTCCGTTCTTTCTTATCTTCTTTTCTTCTTGTCTATCTTCTTCCTTACCCTCTATCTGGTTCTTTCCTTTCACAATGTTTGTGATGGTTCGTAGTCCTACAACAATCTCATCTAACTTAGTCTGCTGTCTGTCAATTTTCTCTTCCAGAAAGGTAAGGTAAGTCACAATATGAGACAATGTAGGTGACATTTCAGCCTGTTCTCCAGTTTCTGTTCGAATCACTTGTGTGATTTCCTTAACTTTCCGTTCTCTTCTCTGTTCCTGTTCTCTCCTTCTGGCCAGTTCTTCTTTCTTTCTTTCTTCCACGGTCAGCGTTTCTTTCAACTGCTGGATGTTTGCATCAATCGTAGCATCGGTTACTTCTGGTTTAGTCTCGCTTTTACGAGTCAATTCCATTACTTCTTCTAGTTGTTTCAGGGCGAACTGGTCCAGTGCTTGACGACACTGGGCAACCAGTTTGGAGACTTCGGTCTCGGCTGCCACAACCTCCACAACTGTGATAGATTTCTTCAGACGGACTTCAGCCATTTGCAAATCAAATCTATCACGGATGTGTTGTTCAGCATCCAGTCCGGATAGATGTATTTTAGTCAATAGCTGATTCCACAAGGCCAATAGTTCCTGTTTCCTACTCTCAGCCTGCGTTCGAGTCTTAAGCTCAGACGATCCATCGCCCACGGAGAGCGTGATCGGTATAGGAAACAAGGTGGTGGTCACGAACCTCGTCAGAATAGACTTTTGCGAACATTTCCAGAAGTGAGACATTCTCAGAGGACAGAAACAAGAAAAATCGTCGGCCAGGTTGGTTTACCGCAAAATAAATAAAAGAGACAATAATTTATGGTCACCCGAACCAACACACTGTCTGAATAGAAAGATTTTAATAACAAGGAACATAAATTTTTACTAATTTTGATTGCTGTTCTATTTCAATGTGATGACGTTCTATTCTATTTCAGGTACCGCGACTCAGGCCAACATGATCATCAACACACACAAGTAAGTACACAGGCACACAACACAGCACAAGACAACAGGTAAGTCTGCCAACAAAATCACCGGTCAGGTGTGATCAGCACCCAATCTGACATCTGGCACCACAGCCTCGTCAGTCTTCCAGCTGTGCCGCTTCAGTCATCAGAATGAACTCTTACTTAGGCACATCCGTGCCTGCCACGTGTCACCCTTGACATGCAAACTCATGAACTCGAAGAGTATGCCACGTCAGCATGTCCAGTCAAGGTCATCAATGGGGTGCGCGTCAGCAATGTGCGTCCATGTCGTCGTCAAGTAAGTCATGTTCCTGCCTACCACGTGTATCCCCTGGTGTGCCAATAGAGCAACGCTTTGAGTCTGCCACGTCAGCACTATAGTCCAGGCAGCATCACCAGTGGGGTGCACGTCAGGAGCAATATCAGCGCGTCGTACAATGCTACGCTAGCCAGGTAATGGAGTGCCACGTCAGACAATGCCACGTCAGCCTGAAGCTACGCACAACAGTAGACGAGTGGTGAGTCAGCAATGCCACGTCAACACTCCTCCACAATCACCGGCCACGTCAGCAATGCATCCCGATTGCAGATGCGATAGATCGGGATCTGGATCGCAGCGCGATCCTGCTGGACTTTCCCCGATTGGGATACCAATGCCATGTCAGCACCTGACGTGCGCTTTTCCAGACTTATCCACCTCAACTCTTCTGTAGGTGTCACCACTTCTTCGTCGTCGTTCTGTACAGGTCGTTGTCATCAGTTACATCATCGGAAGTACAACTCTGATACCAAATTGCAATGAACCCAGATCGTGAAGACACTTGTCAACAATACAAACCCAGATAGATATTAACCTGCTGATGATTGTCAATAATCATAGTCGTGTCCAGAAAGAATGAGATGGGAAAACATACACATACGAAGGAGAGAGAAGGGAGAAAGAAGACAATGCCCACTGCTACTTCGGGCTCCCTCCTCGATCGCCACCTCAATAGTCAATAGTTTGAACGCGAATTTGAAGTTCTATCAATATGTGCCACGTGGCACGTCAATCTGTCCTCATCAGCAAACTGGAGCAATGTCGACATCAAGAAAAACAAGCACGTATCTACAGTCGCCCCATAGTTACGATCTCCTCCCGAGTGACGATGAATCAGAACAGCAATGTCAGTCATGGAGCCTCGCCATGTCAGCAACAATACACATGGCAGCGGCCACGTCAGCGGCGGCGTATGGCAGCTGCCACGTCAGCCTGCCCAGAAACAATTGCCAGCCAGCCACCATGCCAAGCCAGCAGCACGTTGTCGGGACTGGTGACTCCCGCCCGAATGACTTCCCGTCACTCGAGAGATTGTATATGACTAATTTGTGCACGGCAGAGAAAACCGGAGACGGGAATGCTGGAAAAATCGGAAGCGTGGGCACAGGCAGTAGGAAGCTAGAGGCTGCCCAGGGTCGTCAGGACCGCCAAACTAGAAAAGGACTGTCTAAGCAAGAAGCGGCAAAGGACTGTGAGAGAATAGCAGGGGTGACTCTTTCCCCAAGGACGGAGAAGGGTCGCCGGGAAGTCGGTAGTAGCATAGGAGGTGCGCAGCAAGGGAAGGAAGGAAGCAGGAAGGGATAGGGCGCAAGGCGCCGACGTGACACGGCGGCAAGAGGGCCAAGGAGACCGCAGAGACCGCAGGTTAGGTGGGAGCCGGCACCTGGAACGGAATAGCATGCGGGACGCAATAGGAGCAGGGAGCGGAGATCGCTGTAAGACGGAAGGACGTCAGGAGCACCAAGGAAAGACGTGGTATACGTGGGGCAGGAGTGCCGAGGACCACATGGGATCGAAGGACGGGGCGGTACCGACAGGACAAAGTGTCGGGGACCACACGGGACCGGGGGACGGCGTGGTGCCGGCAGGGCGAAGTATCGGGAACCGCGTGAGACCAAGGGAAAGACGTAATGCAGGCGGGCCAAAATGCCAGGGACCGCGTGGGCCTAGATAAAATGATGGCACCAGCGGAATAACTAGAAAGACGGGTATCGATGGTATAAAGTGTCGGGAGCCGCCGATGGGGGCTGAGGGTCGGAGCCGTCGGCGAAATAATTGGCGACCGACCCAAGGAGAAGGGCGCGCGAGAGCGGGTCGTCACCCGGGATGACGCCGGAAAAAGGGGGGGGGCTAGGAACAATAAGAAAAAGAGGAGAAGTAAATATACAGTCAGTTTGTGTGTGTGTGTGTGTGTGAGAGAGAGATAGAGAGAGAGAAAGAGAGAGAGCAGATTCTTTCTCTCTCTCTCTCTCTCTCACACACACACACATGCCAGCGCTCCGCCTGCCGCGGCATCGCCGCGACGCGCCTGTGACTTGTATGACTAGTTTGTGCATTGTAGAGAAAATCGGAGACGGGAATGCTGGGAAAATCGGAAGCGGGGGCACAGGCAGTAGGAAGCTAGAGGCTGCCCAGGGTCGTCAGAACCGCCAAACTAGAAAAGGACTGTCTAAGCAGGAAGCGGCAAAGGACTGTGAGAGAATAGCAGGGATGACTCTTTTCCCAAGGACGGAGAAGGGTCGCCGGGAAGTCGGTAGTAGCATAGGAGGTGCGCAGCAAGGGAAGGAAGGAAGCAGGAAGGGACAGGGCGCAAGGCGCCAACGTGACACGGCGGCAAGAGGGCCAAGGAGACCGCAAGTTAGGTGGGAGTCGGCACCCAGAACGGAATAGCATGCGGGACGCAAGACGGAAGGACGTCAGGAGCACCAAGGAAAGACGTGGTATAGGTGGGGCAGGAGTGTCGGGGACCACATGGGATCGAAGGACGGGGCGGTACCGACAGGACAAAGTGTCGGGGACCACACGAGACCGGGGGACGGCGTGGTGCCGGCAGGGCGAAGTATCGGGAACCGTGTGAGACCTAGGAAAGACGTAATGCAGGCGGGCCGAAATGCCAGGGACCGCGTGGGCCTAGATAAAATGACGGCACCAGCGGAATAACTAGAAAGACGAATACCGACGGTACAAAGTGTCGGGAGCCGTCGACGGGGGCTGAGGGTCGGAGCCGTCGGCGGAATAATCGGCAACCGGCCCAAGGAGGAGGGCGCGCGAGAGCGGGTCGTCACCCGGGATGACGCCGGAAAAAGCGGGGGGGCTAGGAACAATAAGAAAAAGAGGAGAAGTAAATATACAGTGTGTGTGTGTGTGTGTGTGTGTGAGAGAGAGAGAGAGAGAGAGAGAGAGAGAAAGAGAGAGAGCAAATTCTTTCTCTCTCTCTCTCTCTCTCTCACACACACACACACACACACACACACATGCCAGTGCTCCGCCTGCCGTGGCATCGCCGCGGCACGCCTGTGACATGTATGACTAATTTGTGCACGATAGAGAAAATCGAAGACGGGAATGCTGGGAAAATCGGAAGCGTGGGCACAGGCAGTAGGAAGCTAGAGGCTGCCTCTCTCTCTCTCTCTCTCTCACACACACACACACACACACACACACATGCCAGTGCTCCGCCTGCCGTGGCATCGCCGCGGCGCGCCTGTGACATGTATGACTAATTTGTGCACGACAGAGAAAATCGAAGACGGGAATGCTGGGAAAATCGGAAGCGTGGGCACAGGTAGTAGGAAGCTAGAGGCTGCCCAGTGTCGCCAGGACCGCCAAACTAGAAAAGGACTGTCTAAGCAGGAAGCGGCAAAGGAGTGTGAGAGAATAGCAGGGGTGACTCTTTCCCCAAGGACGGAGAATGGTCGCCGGGAAGTCGGTAGTAGCATAGGAGGTGCGCAGCAAGGGAAGGAAGGAAGCAGGAAGGGACAGGGCGCAAGGCGCCGACGTGACACGGCGGCAAGAGGGCCGAGGAGACCGCAGGTTAGGTGGGAGCCGGCGCCCGGAATGGAATAGCACGCGGGACACAATAGGAGCAGGGAGCGGAGATGGCTGTAAGACGGAAGGACGTCAGGAGCACCAAGGAAAGATGTGGTATAGGTGGGGCAGGAGTGCCGAGGACCACATGGGATCGAAGGACGGGGCGGTACCGACAGGACAAAGTGTCGGGGACCACACGGGACCAGGGGACGGCGTGGTGCCGGCAGGGCGAAGTACTGGGAACCGCGTGAGACCAAGGGAAAGACATAATGCAGGCGGGCCGAAATGCCAGGGACCGCGTGGGCCTAGATAAAATGACGGCACCAGCGGAATAACTAGAAAGACGGGTATCGACGGTATAAAGTGTCGGGAGCCACCGACGGGGGCTGAGGGTCGGAGCCGTCGGCGGAATAATCGGCAACCGGCCCAAGGAGGAGGGCGCGCGAGAGCGGGTCGTCACCTGGGATGACGCTGGAAAAAGGGGGGGGGGCTAGGAACAATAAGAAAAAGAGGAGAAGTCGGGTGCTGACGGAAATTGTCAAACGAGACGGGCGTGAGATGGGGAAGACGGAGGGCACCTGGGGCGACCCAGGGGGACCCTGGATCAAGCGCAACAATGATAAAAATAAGATAACACAATGTCAGGTGGACGGGACCGTCCGGGGCCAGAGGTCCGGATGAAAATACTAAGTATCGCCGCGGCAAGCGCCGGCGGGAGGTGCCAAAGGGAAAAGAGGGGGGAATAGTGGTAATGAGGGGGCCGACCAGCAGTCTGAGTATCCCGGATCAGCTGGGCCAAGAAAAACGTAGTTCCGAGGGCTCCACGTGGAGAAAAGGCTGGACGGAGAAAATCGGAGCAAGGGGGTTTCAAACCGGAAGCGGCGACAACAAGAAGGAGCCTCCTTGGACCTTCGGGGTACCGCTACTGCAGTCCGAGGTGTAACGGCCATATGCCGGCTGAAAAATCGGGCCTTGGGAAAGGTCCAACAACCAGAAAGAGGAGGGATAGTTGTTGGACACTTGTCCCAACAGAAATAAAAGAGGAAGGAGAGAAAAAGGGGAGAAAAAGGGGGAGAATGAGACAAAGGAGGAGGAATGGGTGGAGGAAAATGTGCCGCCAAGTTGGGACTGCAGCGGTAGGGACTGGCAGGTCTCAATGATGACCTCGTCCCTCCTAGATCCTTGGAGTGCAGTCCGGATTGCAGAGATAAGCCCCTTGGGGCATTATCTCTGCAATATCTGAATTTTATTAGCAAAAATGAGGGAAAATGCTGATGTGAGTTGGCCGGCTCATTTTTGGGCCTTAGATTTGAATTCTGATCTTGTGGAGGAGGAGATCTAGCTGTTTTTTGTGGGCTGACACAAAACAGCTAACTCCGGAATGAGTTGGCAGCAAAATGGAGGGAAAACAAAGAGAGGAACAAGACAAAACTGCGAATTTGGACCAAGGTTTGGGCGAGGTACATCATAAAAATTGAAAATTGAAGTAAAAGGCTCAAATTTGGGCCAAGGGGAGCTTGGGGGTAGCCAAATCCAAGTCTGAGATTGGAGCCGCCACTTGGGAAAATGTAACGGCCTACTCACAAGAGGCCTTGACTAGGAAAAGACGAAAAATGGGCCTCTAGGCCCTCAAATTTCGGTAAAGGCTGCATTTTGGGGTAGTGGTACCCAAAAGAGAGCACTTTTTGAAAGAGAAAGAGGCCGGGGTAGGCCAAGGGGTAGTCCGAGGAGGTACCAGCCATCCGGACTGCATGTACCCGGTCGAAATAAGGCCCGGGTACCTCCAGATAGGCCAAAACCGGAAATTTGGCCTTGGGGGTACCTCGCTCCACCTAGAGGCACTTGGGGAGGCCTAGGGGTTGGGCGGTGCACCAGCTTCAGCCTATATAAGCTGAGGATGCAGGCCGCCACTCTCATTTGAGCATGAGAGGAGCCCATGCTGCCCAAATGAGTCCGTGAGAGCATCCTAGTGAGCTAGAGCAAGGAAGGAAGAGTCGGAGCTGGCCTGGAGCCTGGCTATGGTAATAGAGTTGAGGGAGAAGGCCTAGAGGCTAGGGGGGAAGAGGGGAGAGTGGTCCGCCATAGTCCTCAGGCCGTGAAGTAGGAGGAGGGGCTGAAAGGGGTCCCCTTAGCCCTTCTAGAGGGAAGGACTCCACACCCTTAGAGGTAGGAGCCTGCCATAGCTAGAGGAGAGGTGTGAGGGAAGGAGGGGACAGCTTGGGAGGGAGGAAAAGTCATTCTCAGGAGGCTAGAACCAAGCATTGGGACTCCACTGCCTAGAGACCCGCGAGAGGTGAGTGAAAGAGGAGGGAGGCCTCCCCCTTCATCTTCTTCTTCCTCTTCTTCTTCTTCTTCTCCTTCTTCTCTCCTTCTTCCTTCTCCTTTTTCTTCGTCTTCTTCTTCTTCTTCTTCTTCCTTTTTCTTTCTTTCTCCCTCTCCTCCTTCTCCCCCTCCTCCTCTTGTACAAAATGCGATTTTTGCTGATTTGGGTGGGTGTATGTGTTGCGCTTCACCTTGGGATACTTCGGTGATGTTTCCCATAGTGTAGATGATGTCAAACTTGTCATTTTGTTGATTTGGG